CTCAAAACATCCATCGTCATCCCGTTAAGAATAGCAACTTGAACGTTCTTACGACCCTATGACGGTGCAGCATAGTGACTGTACGGTAACTCTGCCGGGTAATTTGCACCTTCATTAGTTTGCTTCCGAAAACAGTTCGTACTATTCACATGCACACTAACCACCCACAAGACTTCATAACAAAACAATACCCACAAAGGGAAAAATATACATAAAAAAAGGCACCTCGAATTTTGTCAGGAAGTCTAAAAAACTCAACGTTAAATAACTTATTCGAAACATCAAACTATAGAACAGCTTGAGGATCCCAGCAGTAGTGCTTCTCATCATCCATATCATCTAATTCTTGCATCAATACTTCCGGAACGCTATATTGTAGGCAGTTAAAATTCCGACGAATTCTCTCTGAGTTCTCCGACTTGACAACCAGTGAATCACAACAAGTCAACAGATACTGGAGAAGCACCTCGGCCGTAGTCGCCCTGTCCAACCCCAATCGCTGACTTGCATAAGAGAGGAGTGGCGCTCCTATGCTCCCGAAGGGCCCATATGCTTGCAACAAGATATTACGCTCCTTACAATACCTATAGATAGCACCAAGGCTAGCGATGAATCGAAAAATATTCTTGTCGTGACAAAACAACTATACCGACACTTCGTGTGAGTCTTGCGGATGCGGCGGAAATATATAACAAAAACGATACTGGCCCTGCAACTTGAGGAAGGAGCGCCTCCTCATAACTTGAGATGCTAAGCACCGTTAGGATTCTGTGGAGTAAGGTGGCTAAGGATCTCACGTAAGGTCCTTGAGAAAGGAGGTTGAGGAGCTGCACCTTATAACACTTAGGAGCCGCTACTTGAGCTCCTCAAGGAAATTTCCTTCAAGATGAAAAGTTATAAGGAAGCGTTCCTTGCGGAATTCGCCTTTAGGAGCAGATCCTAGATTACAGGCCGACTGATAAGGAGCTTACTGTTTGAGAGCTCTCTGTTGGCATCTAGCATGCATCTCCACCTGGTTAATGCTGGGCCCCTCATACCACGCCTCAGTAGAAAGATCATGGGCAAGCCACTCGAGGTGGTTAATATTGAAGTTGGAAACGCCGATGATATCAACTAAGCCGTCGTGTTTCAGATCGCACAACACCTGACGAATTGCATCGTTCTCTTTTGTCAACAAGTAGGCCAGTTTTTTTGAACATGCACAATGACCGCACTCAGAATTTGTAGCACTAAACCAGATCCGCATGCCTCGAAAAACATAGGGTTGTCAGCGAAAGTTCACGAACGAAGGAGAGCCATTCGAAAGAAGGGCTGGGCGAAATTCAGCGAACATAGATTTTACGGTATGGATAATAATATTACGGCTTACTGGCGGTTGTATACCAGTACATTAGCCTCCCATGCCCACAGTTTTACGTGTATTTCGAAACCCATCGAATTCACAGCATTAGGAATGGCTCCTAAATAAGTGACCAAGTCCAGTCCGTAGCGTGATGAGCGAGTCAATTCACTAGGCTGAAACTGATCCCTCGTGAGCTAATGTGTATCGATGAGAGTCTAACTAAGCCGTGTTGTCAGAGGCGTTCTCGGCCTTTAAAATCACACTAGTATTGGAGTAGGAATATATGTTCGCTTTCCTCACCTGAGCTCAGGAGTTTCCTATACAATGTAGTTGGCACTGTGCATATTCTCCCACACTGACTCGCACACACCGAATATGTGTTGCTGAGCCCAGGTCACCTTCCATGCTGAGTTCCGTGCTTCACGATGAATGGTCATATCATGTCGCTTCCGAGCCACCCCAGGCCAATGGACCAACAACACTGTCTGCACACTAGGCGGCAATGATAAACGCTGGAAGCAAGCCAGTGATGCTGCCTTTGCATCGAGGAGCTCATAAGGGGAAATCTGATATGCGAAAACTGATTCTTCACATTGAAAGTGTACATACTTTCGTAGTCACCGTGATTCTCTCTGAACCACCACCACTTTGGTTTTCCTCCAACCACTGGGTCACTGCTCGACCAACTTCCACTTCGTTTTTGTAGACAGACGCTGTGTCGATCCAGCGGTAACCAGCTTGGAGAGCATCGTAAACGCTAGCCTCGCACGCCTCACCTGCGAGAACGATGACAACTGCCAGCCCCGGGGGTGGGAGAATATTCACATGGTCAACTCCCATGTGTAGGTGACATCTACGGAAATTGAGGAGAATCTCATTGATTCCTAAACACTTACGCCTAAATTCGTATATGAACTTTCATCATTGGGGAGGAAATTCCTGGAGGAAAGGCAACGTTCATTCCAACACTAGCAAGTCCAGTGTTGGGAAATATGTTCGCTTTCCTCAACTGAGCTCAGCAGTAATACAGCTTTACATACGAATTCGGGTAGAAGTGTACAAGAACCAACAACGAACTCTCCAAGTTTCCTCAGAATTTCCATAAAGCGACCAAGTGCATATTTTCCAACACCGTGCCAGCCTACCGGTGATTTTGAAAGTTCCGAAGCACACTCTAGGCAGTGGTTGCGGCGATCCCATGATAGCACAGATCCAATGGTTGACTCAAAACTGAGGGGGTGGTATTTGCTCTGTTGCCGATCGCATAACGACAGATGCATGAGGATTGATCGAAAGCAGTCAGTTCATGCGAGCGTCTTAATAGCACGTAGTATTTTATGTGTGTAGGTGAAAACTAAAGTGGTATAAATCTATAAAAATGTTGACCATTTGGGAACTCGAAGCAATGGTTGATGGAGTCTAGAGATTCTATCTACAATTGTACTCATAAAATCATCCACTAGCCTCGAGCTGAAGCTAAGACCCCATAGTGGAATACTCTGTACAACTACAATAACAGACTATATACCTATTCAGAATGAATATACCCTTTAGTGAATACCATATTAGTGAGTCTATGAGAAAACGATTCTGTCCTGTTCTCGTCATCATACATTCACCATCGATAGTAGGCGTAACCCTTCGATGAGAGATTCCCATGTCACACGGTGACCTATAGTGAGTTCGACTCTGACCATCACAGTTGAGCTCACTGTATGCAATCTTGTATTCTCTATAGGTATAGGTTGTAATAGGAGTTACCAGCAATCAGTTTAATCCCTCGTCGCAATCAGTAGCGCAACTAGGGTGAAACACTATGTAGACCCAGGATGCTGCTGGTAAAGTTGAAAATCATTGTGTTATGGTAGTACCATAATGGTACCCCCACAGCTAGTAGAAGTTCAGGGCCGAGCTCTGAGACACTCTCACCGTGCACGCTTTCCCCCAACTACACTGGAAGAACCACAGTCTCACTATAAGGTACAAAATGACTTGATCAATGCGAGTATTCATAACACCATCAAACATGCTAGTCGATCATTTCGTCATCTCCATGTGCCAAAACCAACTAGACACCCTTCACTCGGCGGACGGCCCATGACACTTGCCGGGAGTCATTGATAGCTAGGAAGCTCAGCCTAGGAAAAACTAACTACCCCTAACTCAACTGAACCCCTCCCCCTGAGTTGATTCACCAACGAAAGACAGGGCCCAACAGCAGTGTAGAAATTGCCAATTATAAGCCCAACGACACACCAGTCGGGCAGCATAGTGCTCACATGCTCTTGCTACTAGACTCAGGTAACGCTCACAGAGACTTAACCATATTAGCTGCATTTTCAGCATCACTTGACGCTGGCGGACGCAACACAGCAAAAACGTCACCCGTAATAACATGCGAGCCCTGAAGAGAATCATCCGCATAGATCACACAGTAGTTCTATATATATTATAGTAGCATATACTATTATAGTAGCAGTAGTAGTAATCATCCGTCACAATAGTACTTACCTCTTCCTGTTCTGATGATTCCTCCTCGCCAAGATCACCAATGGCTTCCTCCAACTCTGCAATTTCATCATGTTTCCCTTTTATTCTGCGCCTACCGTCAAAGCGAACATTCCCATACATATGCTTTCACTTACTCAGCTGAGCTCAGAGTTTTTCCCTAGTGAAACATGACATCACACACCGTAGGAGTAAAGTGTAGAAAAACCATCGAAAATTTCCTCGAAATTTCTTCATATGATCAATACATGTGCATATTTTCCCAAACTATGCTCAGAACGCACAGCAGTAAGCTAATGAGGAACCCACCAGGTCTCCCGAATAGCTTTCTCAATCGCCTCTCGCTTTTCGTGCTCCACCACCTTCTCATGCCTCCCTACTCTAGCCACACTCCCCCCATGCCGGGGTGACCAAACTGGAGTGTCTATGCGGACCTCGGGAGCTCTGAGGGGAAAAACTTCAACTTAGTTTCTAGAAAGCATTAGGAGTAGCTCAGCTGGGGTAAGAGATCAAAGGCTGCACACAGTGTTGGAGTAGGAATATATGTTTGGTTTCCTCAGCTGAACCCGGTGAGAGTTTCCTCACTATTTATAGAAGTCTATAGCAACCAACGAGAATCTATCAAGATTCCCTCAGAATTTCCATATTGTCACCAAAGCATGTAGTTGATTATGTGCACATTTTCCCACACTAGCTGCACAAGAAACCCGTCGCGATAACTACAGCTCCTGTGCTTGTAAGAACAGCTTCGCCCGATCCTCTGGGAGTCTCTTCCAGGCTAGCTCCATCTCCACCAATTGTGACTGAAGCAAAAATGCGGCATGCCGGGATCGAACCTGGGACCTCGGCGTAGCAAGCTCACCTGCAAAAATGAGAATTCGTTCCTCGCCTTTTCTAAACAGGTCTTCATCGACCCCGCAGACAGACTCGACAGATTTATATCCGTCCTAAAGAAAGAATCTGACCCGGGATCGATCCCTGGGTCCTCCACTTTGCCAGCCCTTGCACTTTCCGGTCAATTTGATGCACATTAGCCCTCTCATGCCGAACCTGACTCTTCCGCCTCTCCAAGTCCCCCCGTCTGGCCGCAACATCTGATCACAACAACCATACCCTCCACCCGATACCTCATACCACACCTTTCTCGATAATTCGCCGCCTGAGGGACTCCTTGCCAGAAACCTCACGTTCGCTCGCTCGCTTTATAGCAACCTCCTGCAAGGAGAAAAAACGTCCCCCGACCATATGGTAGACATGCACCACCGCTTCGATACGAGCCTGGCATTCGGTGAATTGTCGCCGGGCTTCGACTTTCTCCTTCTTGGCAACCTCGAGCTCCTTCCCGAGATACTCACAACGCTCCTCGAGCCTCCTAATATTATCTAAAATGCCATCACTAGCATTCGAACCCGCGATCTTACGAATGATAGCACATATTCTTACCACTGAGCCGCGGCTCCACAGCCAACACCGATTCTATCCGTCGGTTCACCTTCTCCGTTTGCTCATGGCATCTAACAGACCACCTCACCACCCGAACCAGCACCGTAAAGGCATGCTAAACTCTACCGTATATTCGTTTGCTTCAAATCGTCGAAGGTCTTCTCACACCGCAACCGCGTGAGGGCGTCTTGCTCCAGAATTTTCTCATGACCTGACTCGTACATTGTGAACCAGACCGTTATGCAAGGCAATATTTTCCAATTTTTGAACATGAAATATCAACATGATAACAATGTGAATCGATTGACACCAACGTTTTAGAAGCGTTACGTAGTCTACAACCATACTCTCTATTTGAAGAAAATCTAGATATGCATAACTGTTTGGTCGCCAGATCACGATTCGGAAAATAGCATACTCTTCTTTTCAGCCGCCAAATGATTTTCCTTCATATTCACCACCTCAGCCAGGGATATACCTGATAACCAACACCACCGTCACCGCGCCACGAAATTGTCATTCTCACTTCTCCTAGTGATGTCACCTGGTCGTATCACGGGGTTGCTGGGCAGGAAGTACTCCCGAGGCGGTGATAGGTGGAAATCATTGTAGCGGACCGACGTAGTCATAAATGTACTCCAACACTGACTGCTGCTCCAAAACGCCTCGGAATTTTTCACTGCGCCACGAAAATCCTCGCTACGCCCCCGAGTCGTTCAACAACAAAATCCAATTCTATGGTCAGTTCTAGAACTCATTCTAGGAACGTCCTTTCATCGAAACTGATTTTGACCCCCTCTATTGAACGGTCCATTGAGGAATACGCAACAGGATAGCTCAATCTGAGCTGCTCCCATCGATGGGACACGGTTTCACAACCGTTTCGTCAAATCGCCTAATAAAACGTCACTTCCCATGTCGGAGATTCATAGCGCTCACTTCAGAGGTGACCATAGACTATGTACAGTATGCGAGCCTAAGAATACTGCCATCTATAAGAACTCATATACGGCACTACTGAGTCCTCTCAGAAAAAGTAAGCCTATGGTTGAAACGTATTGAGATCTATCGGAGTCGTTGATTCACCAACACAAAAGTAAACGTTCCGCGAGTTCCTCCACTATCGGTAACATCAAGGCGAACCATAAGGGACCGTCGGCCTCATAAAATGAACACTGCTCTGAATACTCGTCATAGGGCAATACAGATTGTCCCTGAGCTTCGGGGATTGATAACACAAGTAGAACCGGCTTATGCGAAGCTTAACTTATAGAAATTATCAAGTGAAGGGGGTAGAATAGCTAGGCTACACGCCAGCTACTATCGTCTCCACTATCACATAATTGTGTAGGCGGAGCGGAGTGGAGGGATGAGTATCATCACAAAACCTCCTTCCTTGCTCAGCTACACTCATTATAGACTCCGGCAGCAGCCTCAAACCCGACATGCTAACAACGATGAACTCTTACTGAATTATCACAAACGATTTGCTCGCTTTGATCCGCCCTTATCTGCGTCAACTGTACAAGGTGATGGAAATAGCGACGAGATTGGATTCTGACGTTGATACCAGGTCTTCGAGTTAAGTGGTGGTACAGACCACATCAGCACAGAATACCACTGGTATCCTTCTTTCTGAAGCACCCACCACATTTGTCTCGAAAGTGTCGCCTCATTTTACTACTACTACTACTACTACCACAGCATTTCCAGTTCAAAATAATTTTCATAGAATATCAAGGAAGATCGATGTAATACCCGCTCTCTAAGAATGATTAGGACTTTGATTTAACTAAGGGCCCGCGCAATTATCGTCGATTCATGTCGTTGCTTCGACAGTTATATGCATTGCACTTGGTCTAGTTTGACGCCTATTTTCAACGACATGCAGGGAGGCGAGTCGCTGATGGGCATCACGAAGAAACTCAACCTAT